AACCTATCAGACCCCCGCAATCACAGAACTGAGGGATGGGGACATGGAAGTACCCCCGGGGGTAAGGTCGCAAGCTGGTGACACGTCATTGCAATGGCCCTGTTGATAGGAAGCACCTGTAGAGTCCCCAACCCCAAAACTGAGACCAGACACTGAAAGAAGGAACAGAAGCCACGTGTTATAAGTGGGTGGGTGAGAAACCCCCCGCTGGAGCCCAAGTCTCTCCCACTCAGAGAGAGGGTGACCCTTCGTGTGGCCCAGAATAAAGAGTGTGAACATGACAGTCTGTGCCAACCCCACCCCATCATAGGGCTTGGAGCAGGCCCTCCCTTACCCCAAGACTCTGAGCTCGCTACTTGTTCCCAATACACCCACACACGCCCAGCACTCTGCCCCTGTGCTAAAGAGGCTTGAGCATCCCTGAAACCCCCAAAGGAAGCATAAAGACCCCTGAGACTCAGCGAGCCCTCCGCTGGCAGCCTGAGAAGGACGTGGGTCTGGCCTCGACCTTGTCCACATGTCTGCCTTCATTGCCCAGACCCACGGGCTCAGCCAGACAACCCGGACCAAGAACCTCTATAGACAGTTCTGGAACCCCGCAGAATATTCCATTAGACTGACTGGCCCCCACAGGAGGCACAGGATGTGCCCGGAACAGGCCCTGTGATGGCACCAGGACCCCTAAGTGGAATCTCAAACCCACCAGAAGAGGCGAAATTTCCACTTCTAAAATCAGAATGAAAAGAGGAAAGGGAAAGTAAGAGACTTCCAAATGCCCGGGAGCTATTTTTAGATATGAATGACTTTTCCATTCACTTTTCTCAGTGTGTGTGGGGTGGGGGGAGAAAAGCTATTAGACCAAGAACAGACTGCCAGGAGGTAATCGATAATCTACATGTAAGGAAATTCATCCAGTGAGGGAAACTGGGGATATCAGTGGTGGGAAAAGTATGCTGGAAGGACGGGTGTTGAAACATTGTATTACCAAAACCCAATCGTGAATAACTTTGTAACTGTGTGTCTCACAGTGATTTGATAAAAAATTAAATAAACACAAAATGTATTTAAAAAAATACTGAGAGCCTAAAATTTAAAAAAAAAAAAATCTTCCAGAACCTACTCATTACGGTCATGAAAACACTCCCCATGTTCAGATAAACACCACCACCTAAAGTCTTCAAGAACAAAAACTGGAGAAATCATGACTTGTTTATCAGAAAGCAAACATGATACTAAAATCAGGCTGTGCGAGGCCAACGCAGTGTGCCCGTGCTCATCATCTTGGGTGCGGAGGCAGCATTGCAGTCCATCCGGCTGCTGTGTGGGGCTCCGAGCTGGCATACTCTGGAGACACGGGCTGTTCTCTCCGTAAGGGACAACGCTATTACAGCCCTTTGACTACGCCGCAGCACTGGTGCAGGCCAAACCCTGCCTCCTGAACAAATGGGTCCCGAGAGTCATGCTCAGGAGAGAATGCGGTCCTCCTGCACAGCACGGGAGAGAAGGTGGTCCTCCCTCTCAGCACAGCCCTTCCTACGCTGCTCCACTCTGCAGCTACAACTCGGTGACTGGGGGTTGGCGAGCCCAACTACCCCACTGAGCCAGAGGAAACAGAAGAAGGGCGCGAATCTATGTGAGAAGAGCAACAGCCACCAAAGGAACTGACTCTTTCCAAAGAAAGCATAAAGGGTTTCTCATACTTTCCACCTAAACGGTAAATACCTTTTCCTAATGTGGTCACGGCTCTCCAAGCTCATATTCGTAGGTTATGTGTTACTAACAGACCACAACAGACTCACCCACGAAAAATACCAGGCATAGAAGTGGTGAACTTTTTTCTTTTTTTTATGTAGGAGTACTGCTATTTATTCAGCCACCGATTAGCTGATTGAATTGTGCATGAACTCCACTGAATTAACTTTCAAACCAAGTTTTTTTGGGAAAATCCCAGAGAGTTGACCATAAAATTTATGTCCAGTACTGCTCTGCAGATGCAATGGAGTCAAACCTAAGGTGGACTTTTTATCAAAGGGGCAGAAAATAGATCGGTTCTTTTACACATCTGTAGCTATAACTGTAAAGATGTTTCCTGTGGTTTGCAGTCAGTCTCCTCTGTTGTAACTTTAACGTACAGTCACAGTAATTCACCGACACTCCCAGGGCCCACAATATCTTTTTTTTTGATTTGTGGGTCACACCCAGCAATGCACAGGGGGGTTACTCCTGGCTCTGCATTCAAGAATTACTCCTGGTGGTGCTCGGGGAACCATATGGGATGCTGGGAATCGAACCCAGGTCAGCTGCGTGCAAGGCCCTACCCCCTGTACTATTGCTCCAGCCCCTTGAATTCTTTAAACAACATCTGGGGCCAGAGAGCTCAAATAGGCTGAGCACATGCTTTGCTCACGAGAGGCCTGGCTTCCATCTACAGTACCGCATGGGCCCCCAGATACTTCTCCCCAACAAAAACAAAGCCCCATCCCCAAAACTCCATGTCATACTAATCCATACTACAGAATTCTAGAAGAGAAAATTGGCTACCCTGGGCCCTAGGTTGCTTTGCTTCCAGCAGCACTATTTATGCAGTTCGAGTTTTCACTCAAACGCAGATGAGATTCTGCTTGAGGCCGGCAACAATCTCCACCTACCCTACTACATTCGTTGCTCTGTAACTTCCTTTTCTTTCTGAACAACCTATTCCTTTATTTGCTTTTCTCCTCTGTGGAAGCCGTCTGGGGAAAGTTCTCGATTCCTGAACACTGTTTTCTGGGCGGTGTGTGAATGAAACCTGCCTCTAAAGGGTTTTAACTGTCAGAGGCACATGGAGAAAATGTTGAGCTCTGCTCTGACACAGTGCTTTTCCCACGTAGTAAAAACCAATTACCCCTGGGAAAGGCAAACCGGTCACCTCGAAAACCCGGCAGGACTGTGCTGGGAAAGAGGAAGCAGAATGGGACCCCCTTGGGTGGACTGCGCTGAACCGCTTGCGGCTTGCTGAGCATTCCATACATATTTCGGGCAAGGTATTATGGGAGCTGAGAAGTGCAAGCTGTCCCCGCTGAATCTGTGCTCGCTGTGAAAACAACGGCTCCGAAAAGCCCACACATGTTTTTACTTTACCAAAAAAAAAAAAAGAAGAAGAAGAAGAAAAAAAAGTCAGAGACCCACTTTTGTTCATTTAATCAACACTTTCAGCTTCAGAAACGGGGCTTTTGAAACCAGTAATGGACGCGATGTCTGAAAACAGTGAAAGATGTCATTCAGGAACGTCCATCTCTGGAAAGGGCCAGAGGAAATGGGTGTGAAACACCCCCGACGGGAAAAATCAGTAGGGTGTCTGCTCCCTTCCGCCCTAGGAAGGGAGGACCCCCTGAAACGGAAATGCTCACATATGACCTCCCCCAGCCCCCACCACCCAAGAGAATCGCAACTGTTTTTATTTTACCCGCCTAGAATGAGCCCTCATTTGGGGGGAACACAAACGTGTTATTTTTCATCAGTTCATTTCCCAGTTGTTTGGGGATTTTCAAAGTCTAACAGCAGAAAAGAGCATCAGAGTCCACTGTGTCCTACACAACTCCAAAACCGTCCCGGGCCTGATCAGAGCACCGTGGCTCCAGCCCTCGGATAAAATTCTAAAGTGAGCTCACCTGATTTTCAAAATTACTAAGCATCTTTGTCGCGGATACAGTTGTGGTAGGATTGATCTAAGTTTCAGAGTTCAGGCGTTAGCCACACTCCGAGAGAATGCTGTGAGGAAACCACTATACTTTAGCTTTGATTTTCCATATCCGAACCCAGAGAAATCTGCAAACAATAATGGAGCACTTCCTCTCCTCCCCAGAGTATTTTCCGAGGCCAGAGCTTCGCGGCGCTGCCTTTTGCGTGCAGGTAGGAGCAAGCCGGAGCCATGTCACCACCGTGGGCCTCTCCAAGTCTTGACATCGCTGGGAGAGCTGCAGTATTTCCTTTCTGGCCAGAGGTGGAGAAGTTTCTCCGGAGGGGACAAGATATCACATAACCACTGCAAACACTCGGTTTCAACAGCATTCTCTTCTCTCTCTCTCCTTCTCTCTCTCTCTCTCTCTCTCTCTCTCTCTCTCTCTCTCTCTCTCTCTCTCTCTCTCTCTCACACACACACACACACACACACACACACAGAGTGCATCTCTTCTAATGCAGCTAAACCATTGAGACCAGTAGACCACAATGCAAAAAGAAGTCAAGGAAACCGTCATCAAATGAACTTAATTAAATGGAATCTGGTTGTTGTTTTAGAAGAATCCGGTCTTAGTGCACGGAATTTAAACATGAGTAAGAGAAGTCGGCGTCCCGTTCTTATTTTGCACCAAAGAGAAACCTAAACTCAACTGGGGTTTTTCCTTTTCTCCCAACGCTTACGGGGCGACTACTCCATCCCGGCCGCGGACGCAACACAACGTTGTTTCTGCTCGAAGTGGAACTCAATTTTCGAGGCGCCAAAGAGGGCCGCTTGCACGGTGGGGGAACGGGCTCGCCCCCAACGTGCCGCGAGTCGCTGCGGTGGCGCGTGTGGCCTCGGACTCGGGATGGGAAAGTGGGCTGAGCCCGCCCGGCGGGGACGCGCACGAAGTGGGGGCGCACGTTCGTGCTCCAAGGTGACAGCTCCGCTGGTCACCGCGGGCCAGGGGACAGCGGGCCGCAGAGGCCCGGGCACGGATGGGCGAGGCCGCGGCGGAAAAAGGAAAAGCGAGCCATCCGTCAGCCCCGGGAGAGGAAATTCCAGGCGCCGGACCGCGGGTGACGCGAGGGAACCGCGTCCGAGTGTCCACCCCGCGCCGCGGCGGCCGGGGAGGTGGCCGGGGCTCGAAGCCCAGCGCGGGGGCGCCCCGACCCCCGCGGCCGCGGTCCCGGCCCGTGTGGGGGGGCGCCAAGCGCCCCGATCCTCGTGCCCTCGGGGCCCGGTGGGGCTCCCGCGCCGTCGGCCCGCTGCCCCGACCCGGGTGGGCCGGCCCCCTTACCGATCGCGCGGGTCGATCCACGACGTCTGGCGCGTGTTGTGGTCGATGTAGAAGACGCGGCCGTCGTAGTCGCGCGCCTCCTCCCAGCCAGCCGGCAGCGGCAGCTCCGCGCTGTCCCGGGCCCGCGGCGGCGCGGGGGGCGCGGGGGGCGCGGGGGGCGCGGCGGCCGGGGCGGGCGGCGGCGGCGGCTCCCGCGGGGAGGTGGCGGGGGGCGGCGGCGCGTCCCGGGGGCCCTCGCGCGACCGGCCCCGCCGCCGCCGCCGCCGGCCCCCGCTCAGCCACGGCATGACGGCGCGGGCCCCGCCGGCCCCTGCCCGCCCCGCGCGCGCCGCCTGCTCGGCCAGCACTAAGGCCCGGCGGCCGGGGCGCGGGGAGCCGCCCGCCGGCCCCGGGGCATCCTCCGCCCGCCGCCCGCCGCTGCCCGCGCGCCCGCCGCGCCGCGCGCCCGCCTCGCTCGGGTCGCCGCCGCCGCCGCCGCCGCCGCCGCGCGCGCTCACAGCCGCCCAGCCGCTGCCCCCTCCGCCGCCCGCGGCTGCCGCCTGCCCGCCGCCCGCCCGGCCATCTTCGTGCGTCCGCGCGCCCGGGGGCGGGGCCTGCGGGGGGCGGGGCGCCGGCGGACACGCCCCGGCCCCGCCCCCCGGCCCCCGGCTGCCCCCGCCGCCCCGCCCCCGCCGGCCGCGGCGCCTCCAATTTTCCTCCGCCGCTCCCGACCCCCGCCCGACGCGCGGCCCCCACCACCACCCCCGGCTCCCTCCGGGGGCGCCGCGACTCCCCGCGCCCAGACCCCGCCCCAGCCGCGGGTTCCTCCTCCGGGCGGCCCACTCCGTGCCTGCGCCTCCTGTCCCCCCTACCTTTCCCCCCCTCCTCCGCCCGCCTCCCCCCTTCCCGGCCTCGTCGCCGGGAAACCGCACGGGGGCCAGGATGGGCGCCGCCGCGTCCGTCCGCCCGCCCCCGGGCCGCAGGGAGGAAGGGGAGCCGGGAGGACGACGCCCCACGCGGCTGCAGGCGCCACCGGCCCGGGGCCGATTCCGGGGGGGGCCCCCCGGCAGTTCCCGGGAGATAGGGCGGACCCCTAGCTTCCCTCGCCTTCGGGCCTGAGTGGGGGGGCTTCACCTCACCCGTCTTGGGGATCGAGAGCTGCACCCTGGGGCTCCCACACACCTACGTGATTCCTCCAGCCCCGGATGCGGGGAAAGCTGCTGGAGGAGAAACGGGCGCTGGGCAGGTGGCCACGTCCAGTGCCTGCCAGGGGAACCCCACAAGGGCCGATCCGGAATTCCCGCCGTGGACAATATTCCCTGCCCTGCCGGGCTCTTCCACCCTCTGCCCCACGGGTCTGCGCGTTTCCGCACAGACCCACGTGCACGGCGGCGAGGGGGCAGCAGGTGGACTGCAGCGTGCCCGGCCCACGGGCTCTCCGTTCCGCTCGCAGTTCCGAGTGCGGGAGATGCAGCTCAAAGTTGGGGCTCCGTCTTGCCCCCCCCCCCACCCCCGCCCCAGCTACTTCGTGCTCCAGATCCCAGGCCACAGACTTCATGCCAGGAAACACAGGAAATTATCAGGGAGGTTTTAAAACCCGGTTATAGTAACACAAAAAAATATCTAGTAAAAAAAAAGGATCTAGGTCCAGATATATAGGGGAAACAGACCAGCGGGAAACGGCTTCAGATGCACACAGCGGTCCGCATTCCTTCCTTGGGAATCATTTTTAAGTTGTTTTCCCATTTTTTCGTGAACAACAATAAAACTTTTATTATGAAAGTTATCTTCTTTGTTTGGAGACCACACCTGATGGTGCTACTCCGGGCATTGTGCTCCGAGGTTCCTTTCGGTGGTAGCAGTCAAACCCGGGTCTCTGGTATGTGGAACATGCGCTCTAGTTCATTAGCAGGGAGAGGGAGAGAGCCGCACTTGGGGCTTGGGAGATCGGTGATCCAAAGGACTGAAACACACATCTTGCAAGCTGGAGGCCCCAAGTTTGATGCCCAGTATTACGCACCCAACATCACCACGTACCAGGTGTAGCCCACTACTGACTCTGGGTAAGCACAGGTGGCCGTGATCCTGCCAGGCATGGCTGGGGATCCCCTCCCCCCCCCCAAAAAAAAGAATGGGAAGGCTTGGAGACTACCTGGAACCATTTCAAGGAAAGCCACTCTCCGCGCTCCCCTAAGTCGCCTTTCCTAGATGTTATATGGCAGGAATTCCAGCGCGAGGTCCTGTCAGTGAAATTTGGAGAATGGGGACATTTCCCCGGGAAACAAGTGAAGCAGTCCCTGGGGGTTCTCGCACACTCCAAAGAATGCCCAGGCGCTGGCACCCTGGCACCCTCTCTTCCTGCCCACCCAGCATGGCCAGGCCGAAGCTGCATTCCCAGGTGACTCCCGAGTGTCACAAATCTGGGTGCTGTCATTCGCAATCACCCCATACAGGCGGAGTCTATTTGCGGGAAACCGAAGTCTACCGGGAGGTGGAGAGCGAGGGAGATTAGCCACGCGTTTGCTCTCTTTGATGCATGAACATCAAAGCACTTGCAGGGGGCAAAGGCAAGAGGAAGGCTGGAACCGCTAGTGAGGGCGGGGAGGGGCTAGACGGGCCGGACCCGCCCCATCCCCCCACCCCCGGGGGGCTGGGAACCGGGACGCTGCGGGCCTCGGAGGGGAGTCGGCCCCGCACCCGCCAGGTCTAAACAAAGAGTCATTAACTCTGACTTGTCTATAAAAGAAGTCGGAATGCGGGGACCTGGAAGGAAAACATCCTGGCAGAGGAAACTAACGTTTGCGTCTTCAGAGTCCTGAGGCTTGGATTCAGTCACTGGCCCTGGGGGACAGAGCAGATACGGGACCCCACCTCCACCTCCGTGACTGGGGATCACTCCGCTGAGATGCCACAGAGCTTAGTCCCACACCTCAGGAATGGATTCTGCAGTTGTGTGTGGCTTCTCCCTGCCCCCCACCCCAAGCACCCAAATGCCCCCCCACCCCTGCCGCCCCCCTCAACTCCCAAGTCAGGAGGGCCTGAATTTTGTTTAGGGGGCATTCCGGGAGGAGCTCAGGGCCCAGCCCTGACAGTACTCAGAGGACTCTGCGGTGCCAGGTACTGACCCCAGCTCCTGGAGGCACAGCCTGCACCCCATCCTTGGAAGCCACCTTCCAGGCCCCGGGAGCCCAGCTTTGACACTTGCTCCGTTGGCTCCAGGCAGCCTGGAAGCACCTTCCGTGCTTGTGGCCGCATGCCCAGGTCGGCCTGACTCCCGCGCATTCAGAGACCGTGGGAGTCTGCAGTGCTCCACCTCACGGGGCAGAGCAACCCGAGAGCCCGGCTCCAGGAGCAGGCCCAGCCCCAGGGCGCTGTGGAGGGAAGAAAGAGAGCATCTGGGGGCCTATGAGTGTCCCTTGAGTCCTTTCTGACTAGTCCTTGGCATGAAGAACACGGGAGCGTGGGGCTGGAGTGAGCTGGGGAGGAGGGTAGAAGCGACTCAAGCCCCCTGGCCTGGCCATCGGTTGGGAAGTGGGTCTCCTGTGTTCATTGTTGGGGAGAATAAGGCCGGGCTTTCTTATGGCCACGCGGGGCTTTCCGTGTTGCATGCAAATGCGTGCACAACACAGAGCACTGCAGGCAGGGACACCAGCGTTAGCTGAACACACAACTCTGCATTTTTGCTCTTTGCAGACGAAATGGGGGCCTCGCCAGCCTGAAGGACACACACACACACACACACACACACACACACACACACGCACATCCTCCCAGCAAGGTACTAGGGACAAAATAGCATAGGACAGAGCCTACTTGGCCTCGGTAATAAAACTCAAGCCCTTGTTCTCCTCCTCTCGGACCCTCTGGGAAATCCCCTTCCTGTCCCCGGTAACAGGCGCCGACCGCCTCGGCATCCACTGCTTGTAAAGGAGTAAATCCCAGCCACCCTTTGCATGCCAGACCAGCCGGCTCTGACTTCTCAGATTTTTGCTCTCTGGGAGGATTCCATCCTCTCTCCCCACCCCTCTCCCCCAAGAGTGACCTTTATTTGAAGAAGCAAGGTTCACAAGTCATGTCTGTACACATTCAAGTCTTAAGAAGCTTCTAGGAAAGGGAGCACTGTAAAGGCGGCTGTCATTGCTCTGAGAAGAAGAAATACTGCCAGAGAAATCTCGCTTCCCTGGATAAACAAGCGAGTGTTCTAGTAAGTGGCACCTGGGGTAATTCGACACTCAGTGCTCTGAGGGAAACGGAAATGGGCCCAAGTGGGTGTACAGATGCGCAGCTCCGACGGCTGGCGTTCCCTTGGCGCTGGAATAATTTCTCCACCGTGGGCGCTTCCCTGGTATTTGAGCAATGCGAATACACACACACACACACACACACACACACACACGGTGGCCGGGCTCACTGGTTCCTATATTGTTCGTCCGAAGACTGCGCGGATGTTAACATGCAAGGGGCAGGCGGGGATGCGATGTCACTTCCTTTAGCTTTCAGAGAAGCCATTGTTTGCCCTTGGCCCTTAGCCTGGGAGCACTGGTACTCAAAGGGGTTTATAGATGGGTTCTGTGCCACCGTGTAGACAGTGCTGCACACACCAGTGGGTTCTCGGCAGCCGCTGTGGCTCCGATGGACGCCCACGTGCCTGCTGGAGTCTCGGCCGCTCCAGGCGGTCTTGGGTACTGTCCACGGCTGTTGTGGGCAAATTTCAGAGGGACCTGGGTTCATAGAGTTCACACTTTGAACGGCTCCGACAGCTTAGGACACTCGCTGTCCCCGTTTTCCCGTCTCTGCCTCAGACCACACCTGGATTTCTTTCCTCCCCATCCCAGCGTGTACCCCGGTGCCGGTGGGGGTGGATCAGGGGCAAAGCACCTGCCTTGCCCGAGCCTGAGAGTCCTAACCCCAGCACTGCACACGTGTGCCAAAGTCCACGCAGCTGAACTGTGCTGGCCATGTGAGCATGCGCAAGAGCATGAACTCCGTGACCCTAGTGGTGCCCCCACCAACAATCCAAGCGGTGTGGAAAGAGGAATTTCAAAAATTAATTGTGGGGGGCGGAGAGATAATGCAGTGGGTAAGGCACTTCAGCAACCAACCTGGTTTCGATCCCCAGTACCACGTTAGATCCTCTGTGCCCGCCAGTAATGAGCCCTGAGCACAGAGTCAGGAGTAAGCCCTGAGCACTGCTGGGTGTGGCCCCCATCACGAGAATTAATTTTTTAATGTTGGGGCTGGAGCGATAGCACAGCGGGTAGGGCATTTGCCTTGCACACAGCTGTCCCGGGTTTGATTTCTCCGCCCCTCTTGGAGAGCCCGGCAAGCTATTGAGAGTATCTCGCCCTCATGGCAAAGCCTGGCAAGCTACCTGTGACGTATTCGATATGCCAAAAACAGTCATAACAAGTCTCACAAATTGTTGTGAGA